AAAGGAATTAAAGCATAATGGCACACTATGCAGCTTTAAGGAGGAAGGAGATGCTGCCTGTTACAACCACATGCTACAATGACTGCAAGTTAAAGATATTAGTAAGGGCCCTCCCTGGTGGTACAACAGGTTAGGATGCAGCACTGCAAGCTAGCTGCAGCTGCCTCCGCGCCAGTTCTATCCCTGGCTGGGAGCTGACCCACATGGCACAGCAGACCTCTCCTGTCTCGCCTGCTGCTCCCCTCAGCAGTGTATTTCGTCAATCTGCCTGTTCTGCTCCCCACTCTGTCTCTGGTGACTCTCTCACCACTCCTGCTCCTCTGGCCTGTATCCCAGTTCTGTCTGCATAAATAAATAAATCTTTTAAAAAAAAAAAAGATATTAGTAAGCAAGTAAGTTGAACACAAAAAGGCAAATACTGCCAATTTTGCTTATAGGAGGAATCTGAAGTGTATTTTGAACTAATGGGGGAAAAAAAGGCAGTGTTTGATATAGGCTGGGGCTGGGTAATTTCATCTTGTGATGAAAAGCTTCTAGAGGTGTGTTGTACAGCAATGTGCATATAGTTAACAATAGTATATATTATAGAATGTACACTTAAAATTGTGTAGGGGATAAATTCATCTTATGTGTTTCTTATCACAATAAAAAATCTATTTTGAAAATAACTTAAGAAATGACAGCTTTAGCATTTTAACTTAGAATCACAAGGCTCAGCTGTATGACTTAGTAACTGACAACCTTTAATAAAATTGCTTCTCCTCTCTGGACTGTATCTTTAAAAGGAACAAGAACACATCTGCCTTATGGCGTTTCATGAGCATAAAGGTTATAGCAGATAGAACAGTGATAAAAAACAGAATCTGGAGCCAGAAAACCAGGGTTCAAATTCTGTCTCTGTCACTGCCTAATTTAAAGACCATGACCAAACACATCACTCTCAAGTCCTTCCCCTCATGGAGTTATGATATTCCCAGAACACACGTCCCCAGGGTGGTGTGAGGACTCAGTAAGTAATGCATGTGAGGTGTTGAGCTCCATTCAAGGTGTGCAAAACCAACAGCTCTAAAAAGCTGTGTCTACAGGAAATTAAGGCAATCTCCTACTTAGATCAAATCGAAGGCTTCTTAAAATACACCACAACCACTCACATCAAGTTCATTCCAGCTTGAAGCCAACTATATTAGGCTTCCAAGTAGATTAGTAACTCTGTGAGCTCCTTGGGAACCAGTCACATCTTTTTATGGAGCTGAAATGCTACCAGCTGATTCTTGCCAAGATAATTAATTTCATCTTCTTGAATGTTTATACTTGTAACATTCTCATCTATAAAATAAAATACTTTTCTGTAAAAATAAAGTAATAACAACTACCTCATCGAGTTGTACAATTAAATAGAAAACACCTGGTCCATGATAAGGACTCAGTGAATATCAGCGACTGTTAGCCTTACTCCCGTTCCCCAGCAAGAATCTGAAGTGTCACTGGTTCTCATGAAATAGTATGTTGCACTATAAAAGTTACTCATTTCTTGAGACTTCTGGACTGGGGACTCCCTGGGTGCCATTGTCAGTAGGCATTAGAGGACATGCTATCCAGAAAACTCCCAAGAAATACTTAATAAAATGATATACACACACGCCTCTCATCCTCACTTCCAAGCCCTTACACTCTGACCTTACATTTGCAAGGTCATTAAACTCCATAGCTTAATCATTCCCCTTCTGTGATCCTCATTTTCTCATCTAGAAATGTGACTAATAGCCCTGAGGATGAAGGCAGATAAACCTCTAAAGTACTTGCATATAGTAAATGCTCAATAAATGAGTTATCTGTTCTGCTCTTCTCTGCTGCTTGACATTTGTGCCCTAGTCTTTGCTGACCACAGCCTCTAAAGATACCCCTGATGGAGAGATTTTATTACTATTTCTGCAAGAAGCAGAGGAATTTGAGGGGGCAAATTGAGGAACAAGTGGCTGACCTCTGGTGAATTCTGCTCTCAAAAGTTTCCTCATGGCAGAGTTGAGCAACCAGCCAGCTACATTTGTTGATAAGTGAATGGAGCTCCTTCTCTGGGGAAAGTCAGGGACAGGGTCCAGGGCCCAAGGATGGGGGTATCCTTGGTACCAGTCAGAGAATCCCAACTTTGCTTCTCTCTGGAGCCTCCACACTGATACCGGTTACGTATACTACATGATGAAGACTCAGATTGCTCAACCAGCCCCAGACAACCCTGTGGAGTTAGGGGACCCTCAACCTGGCCTGGGCCTCCCCTCTGGGTCTCTACCCACCTTTTCTGTGTGATTCCCCCTCCTTGTGAATCAGGCCAGGGAAGAGGAAGTAGGAAGGCCCAGGGATGTGCCCAGGCCTCTTCCTAGCCGTGAGCACTCCTGAGTCCTCCTGGTACTTTCATGACCAGCCCTGGGCCTGGCCCAAGGGTAAATACAGGGTAAAGGCCCAGGTCCTGGGGTCATGCAGACCCAGTTTAGTACCAGGCACTGCTCCTGCCTAGCTGATCTTTTACTCTCAAAGCCCCCTTTTCTTCATTTGCAAAATGAAAATAAAATAAGCCTTCCTCACTGGAGCAATAATAAAAGCAGAACAAAGCAATTTATGCCTATAAGATTGCTCAATGAACTGGAAGTTCTTCTCCCCTCCCCCATCTCATAAAATGCTTGTATCATGAATAAAAAAGCCAAAAAAAAAGAAAAAAACAACCAACATATACAAGTTTCATCTTCTCTTTTGAAAGAAGCAAAAAGTGTGGCTGAAATCACAGGACTGGGTCAAGGGGTCTGGGCTCTGACCTCAGCTGTGTACCCAATCTCCACAGTAAGTCTCTTCCCAGCTCTGAGCCTCAGGATCTTTATCAGAAATATGGGTAAAACCACCACCACCCACCCACTTACACCCTTCTTGTGAAAGGGAAGGAAAATTGTTCTAAGCATAAAAGCTTTAGTAAACAGGAATGGGCATGATAAACTGAAACGGACTTCACTGTAAAGGGCTGTGCCCAAGTTTTTGACATGTTTCTTCCATTAGCCAACTGAGTTCAACTCCCTACCAGGCCCTGAGTTGCTCTGAGGGTGTGGGGTGAGGCTGCTGCATGAAGCTCTGGCTCTCTCTCTTTCTCTCACACACACATGCACACACACACAGAATGGACACGCTCCAGGCACATGTGGATATGACCAGAGTCAGTGCCCCAGCTCACCCCACACAACAAGGCATGCACACACAAAGACACACAGCAGCTTCTCCATGGCCCTTCCATCACACTGCCAAGTTACCCTCCATGGCTGGTGGAAGAAGTGGTTGTCCTGGGGCTGAGCACCTGCCCCCCTGGAACTGCACCCATTCCTGATCAGACACTGTCCCCCAGGAGCGGTCAGGGCCTGATCCCTAGCTATAGTGCAGCTGTTGTCTCCTGGGCCCACTTGGAGGCCATGTGGAGAAGCGGTATGGGAAAGGACAACTGCCACAGAAAAGGAGGAGAAGCCCCAGCAGCCCAGCAGGGCCTTATAAGGAGGTGAAGGTCTCTCTAGAAAGGGTTCCCCAAGAGAGGACAGCACCCCGGCTCTCATCTCACCCCCTTTCTTCCTGACATCAACCAGGAGAGAAAACTGAGTCCTGAAGGCACATTTTGCCAATAATGCAGTAGTGAAACTCCTTCTCCAAACCTTTACAGACAGATGGGGACCCTGAGGCCCAGGCAAGTAAAAGGATTTGCATAAGGTAGTAACAGAGCAGAGCAGGGACCAGAAGCCAGGCAATCTACTGCCTCAAGTGCTTTATCATTCATCTACTCAATTCACATTCTAAGATTCCACCCCCCACCAGGCTGCTAAGGCCAAGGCTAAAACAATGGGCCAACAAACTCCTCCAGGCAGTGTAGTATGGCTGGTCACACACTGCTTCTACTTGAACAGCATCTTGCAGGAAACAAAGCACCATCCTACCCAGCTCTCACTTCTCCCCACAACTCACAAGCTCAGTACTTTAAACCCCAACCTGCAAAGGAGGAAAATGAGGTTCAAAGATTGCATCTTTTAGGTAGCTGGCTAAAACCTTGAGAGCAGTGAGAGAACAAGAGGGGAGGGAAGGAGAGAGGAGAGAGAGCAGGAGAGAGGGAGAGAGTAGGGGAGGGGAGAAGCGGCAAGGAAGGAGGGAAGGTGCCAAAGGAGGGGGAGCAGGAAAGGGGAGAGGGGAGGGTTGGGGAGGAGGGTGGAGGCTGGGATGCACCTCTCAAGCCCTAGGGCTGTTCACATCTCTTTCTTTTGCTTCTTTAGCACGTGTGTGCGTATGCACGCGCGCAGCACACACACACACACACACACTCCAAGAACCTGGAATACAGCTGCATATTTAGTCAAAGCTAACCTGAGCTCCTGAACCTTGGGGGAGGAATGCTGACCTCACCACAGGTGTGTCCTGGTCGCAGCTAGTCACCAGCCTCTAGATAGACCTCCTCCAGTGCAGGGCAGGTGAGGTGCCCCCTCTCATCACCTGACACAGGTGGGGAACATCAGCTATGGGCCAGGTTCTTTGTACCGAGTTGGTCATCTCCATCCCTGGGAGAATCTCACCCCTAGAGCGTCTGTGAGTTCCCACCCCAGTGCCAGACCCTTTTCCTCTTCCCATGACCTTGCAAAGGAGACTTCATTTGACAACTTAGGGAACTTGAGGTGCAGAGAGTGGGTACAACTTGGCCAAGGTCACAAAGGGGATGGGCATTCAGCTCCGAGATTTAGGGACCCCTCTCATCACCCTCACTTCCTGCCCCCCAGTTTTCTTGAGGTCACTTCAGCACTGTTTTGTTCTCAGAGAACCAAGAGGGGAGCTGGACTCCCTAAGAAAGTTGAGACTCTGGGCCTGAGAAAGATGCCCCGGTCCCTCAACAAAACGACCCCTTTGCCTGGGTGCAGCCTGGGGTCGTGAGCTTGCTCTCACAAGAACATTTTCATAACCTCCCTAGAGCCCGCCAGCAGGGCACCCCTTACCTGTATGGGGCAACAGCTGCAGCTGTGAAGCTGGGGTGTCTCTCTCTGCAGACCCAACCTCTGTGCCGTCTGGAAATTGCAGAAGTGAGGAAGTAGAGCAATTGCTGCCAAGTCACTCCTGGAGGGAAATGTCGTGACCCTAGAACTCCCACAACAACCCCCAAGTTGGGTCATCACAAGCCTTGAACACTGTTTGGGGGTTTCTCACAGAGCAAGGGGGAAGCCATGGCTTGAGGCAACCGAGGGGAGGGAGAGAGGAGGGGGGCAGAGCGCAGAGAGAAAGAGCAGAAACGAGGGACCCAGAAAACAGGCAGCCAGAGGGAAAGTCAGGGGGGAAAATGAGAAAGAGCAGAAGGCGAGGTGGAGGGATCAGGGCACACAGAGACAGATGGAAACAGAGACCCCGAGAGGACTGAGCAGACAGAAGACAAAGCCCAAGGGAGTTAAAGAAAAAGACCAGCCTGCGTGTGCTGCTTGTGTCAGCCAGCGGGGTGTGGGGGCAGGGACGATTAGACCATGACAAGGACGTGGAGGAGGAGCACGGAGGACCTGCTGCGGCCACTGGCATGATGGGCTGGGCCTCCCCAGAGAGCCAGAGGCACCAGGCCCAAGTACCCTGGGGACCAAAACTGCAGGGCTGGTGAGGAGGAAGTCACTTAGGACCCTGAGCAGACACTCGGCAGCATGCAAGAGTTAGTGGGAGCCAGCGAGGGCGGAAAGTTGTGGGCAGCTCCAGGAGTGAAAAATGAATTTGCAAGTGTGTGTGGGTGAGTGAGGGTGGGGGTGAGAGAGAGGGAGGTGGGACCCCATGTGTACACAGCGAAGGGATGGCCAGCGCTCCCTGGTTGCCATTCCAGCCATCTGCCCACTCACTGGGCACCCAGTGAGCCTGTACTGAACACCCCGAGGCGCCAGGCACTGGAGTGGAGATCCAAGGATACCTGAGCAAGCCCTGCACCCCTCCCTGCTACCCCTGAGAAGGAAACGGCAGGGCACAGAGAGACAGTGCAAAGGCAGGAGCCCGATTCCCACCCAGGTAGACTCCTGGGCAAACCCTGCTCGCTCCGCTCCCCGAAGCCCCAGAAGGCTGCAGCCCGCCTCCAGGCTGGAAACGGCACAGTTGCAAAGGATCAGCGATCCAATATCATGAGTTTTACAGTGAGGTCTCCAAGCGGGAACTTGCTCCACAGAGCAAAACTGGTTTCTAGAGAACAAGGATAGAAGGAAGTATTTTCCTGTGTGTTCTTTTGTAACTATTGAAATTTTGACTTGCTAAGTTATTGCCTCTTTTTAAAAATAAAGTAAAAAGGCGCTGCCTGGTGGTGCACTGGGTTAGGGTGCAGCACTGCAAGCTGGCCACAGCCACTTCAGGGCCAGTTAGATCCCTGCCCCGGAGGTGACCCGCATGACACAGCAGACCTCTGCCTCGCCTGCTGCTCCCCTCAGTGGTTATTTCAGTCAGTCAGCCTGTTCTGCTCACCATACTGCCTCTGGTGAATCCTCTCACCACCCTTGCACTCTGGCCTGTACCCCAGTTCTGTATGCATAAATAAATAAATCTTTAAAAAAATAAGGTAAAAAAACAAAAAGGAGGTGAATTCTGGGTTCACAGCTGCCTATCGGCTGTGGCATATTGGGCACATTTCTTAACCTCACTGAACCTATATGAAAACATAGATTTAAAATGAGGATGATGACAATGACTTCAAAAAAGTACCATGTCAAGTACGATACTGGCAGGTGATAAATCCTGGCTGGGTTTACCGTCACCAGCTGTGCGTGTTTTGGTCGGGGGGAGTGAGGGAATGCTACAGACGCTGTGATTGTGTGGTAAATGTGAAGAACGAAAGGGTGCATGCCGTGTCTGCGAATAACGAAGGTTTGTGTGTCGATGAGGGGGGTGCTGATGGAAGGGAAGTCAGAGGAGACCCAGTTCTGGGATCGCTCCAGAGCTTGTTCTGGGATCACTCCAGAGCCTCAAGGATTCTGCAGGGAACCAGAGCTGGATCAGCCTCAAGGATCTGCAGGGAAGCTAGACAAAATAGACATACCTGACCCTCTCACCCAGGACAACAGCCTCTTACCTGAGAAACAGCAGGGGCAGCAGTCCACAAAGTGGCAAAGAGGCTGAGGTGGAGATGAGAGACTCAGCGAGCATGTTTCCTGGACAGCTTCTCAGTGAACTCAGGAAGCAGGGTGGGGAATGGGGAGGATGCAGGAGACAGGCCCAGACCTAGGTGTGTGACTCACTTCACTGTACCCTCCAATCCCTGTTCAGCAGCACCAGGATAAAGGGTACAGGGAGACTGCTGCTGGCTCCGCTGAGTGGTTAGGGCATAAATCCACAAAGTCAGTTCCTTGGGTGGAGCTCCAAGCCCCAGGTCACCAGAAGACCCACATCCAGCCCGGATTCTCGCATGAGCTCAGCCAACACGGGGCTAGTCCCCTAGAGCCCTCTGGGAGGAAGAGCTGGGCTTGAGCTGGCAGAGGAAGGAAGGAACTGGGTCCCTGTCTGAGGGGAGGTGGGTTCCCACCTGGGGAAGCTCCAGCCTGTCCTCAAGAGCCCCCAGTCCGGTGGGAGGTGGGTTACAAGGACTGGGGGGGGGGGGGGGGCAGGGAGCAGTGGGTACAGCCTGTTCTGTGGACCCCAAGTGTCAGTGGGCATAGCCCCACTCCAGTAAGCCCCAAACTGATGGAAAAGACCCAAAGCTGCCTTCTGAAGAGACTCTTGTTTGAGGGGACACACAGTCCAGTCTTCCCAGACGGCCACCGTCCAGGGGGTGCAATAGCCTGCTCACAGTGCCCCGCAGAGGGGACTGCCCTGCGTCTCCAGGGATGCCCACTCTCTCAGGACACGGAAAGTCACGTCTTCTGAAGCCACCCCTGCTTTCATGAGACCCCAGGCTGAGGGCGATGACAAATCCTTTGAGAAGTCCCCAGTCTAAGGCCAAGGCCATGGTCTGCCTTGGACCTCACTGAAAGTTACTCCTCTCTCCACTCCCCCGCCCCACCCACACCCTCACCCTGATCAGGCTCACCAGGAGAAGGTGTCTGTTCACAGGGGCAGCTTGAGCCTCCCCTCTGCATCTGCTTCTTGACAGGCTGACAGCAACACACACTTCCTCTAGGCTCAGCCAGCGCACAACCTTCAATATAAATGAAGATCACTTTACCCAACTTCCCAGCACCACGGAACTGGAATCAAATTCTTTCTACACATTAGACTCAGAGTACTTATTAAAAATGAAGGCTTTTAAAAATTTTTTTAGAGATTTATTTAATTATGCAAACAAGAGCTGGGATGGAGACCAGAGATGCGGCAGGGTGAGAGGATTCACCAGAGAACAGTGGGGAGCAGAAATACACTGCTGAGGGGAGCAGTGGGCAAGATAGGGGTCTGCTGTGCCATGTGGGCCAGTTCCCTGGTCACGGTTTGAACTCACACTGCAGATAGCTTCATAGTGCTGCAAATGAACCTGTTGTGCCACCGGGAAACCCTAAAGGCTTTTTAAAGAGTCCTTTCTCAGATTCTACTTCGGGATATTCTGACCCAGCAGAGCTGGTTGTGGGGCCCAGGAAATGACTACTTAACAAGCATGCAGGTGACTCTGAGTAGGTGGCCCAGGGACTGAGTTAACTGGAGCTTATTAAAGATCCCAGCCATCTCTTTCCATACACCCCGGTCTCAGTTCTCACACCCACATCCCAAGCTGAATCCTGAAACTGAATCTTAAGGAAGACTAGAGAATGTGTTTGCAACAGGTTTTCCAGGTGTCCTTAATTCTCTGCTCTTTCAGCCAGTTCTTCAGATTAGGAAACACTTTGCTGGCTGGCAGTCAGAAGGTTACTCACAGAGCACCCCACTGCACTGGGAACCTGGTTTCCCACATTAACTAAACCCTGGGGCAACACATTTGAGAGGAGGAAGTTGAGGCTCAGAAAATTTCAAACTCCAGTTTGCCTGATGCCAAACATGTGACCATTATCTCCATTTTCCGTTTACAGCTTCAATAAAAGAGGCATTTGACCCTTAGCTCACCAAAGCTAAAGTCCAGAGAGGCAGTAACTTGCAGGCATTGCAAAGTGCGTGAGTGGCAGAATAGGCACTCAAGTAAGACTCCAGGCCCCTCTGTGCTCATTTCTCAATGCTGGAGTTCAGACATATCCACAATTCCCAACTCCAATGATAATAACAGATGCTCCAGATGTGTGCAGATAGTAGAGAAGAGCAGGCAGGAAAAAGGGGGGGAAATCTTGCTTCACTGAGGCTCTACCCTCAGTGCAGACCCAGATTCACCTGCAGGCCACCAGGACTTATTCCCACCTCCACCAAGACCCCAGGAAGCAAGGGAGCAGGTGGGGCCTGGCTGTGGCTAGCCCAGGAGGCCACTGAAAGCCATGACCATGGGGATGGGGGATTCAGAGGACTATGGGCGGAGGGTGACCAGTCTGCCAATGACAATACGATGTTTTTTAAAGGTCCACTTCCCAATTTGCATCCAAGGAATCTAAGGCTCAGAGCTGAAGTCACTGGCCCAGATGCCAGGCTTCTGACCCTGTCTGGCTTCTTCACCTTGGCCCAGCAGCAGTTCCCCAGCAGTAGCTGGGAATGTGGGTGGGAGCTCTCTGCTCCATTCAAGGCAAATCACAGAAGAGCGAATGGCGCTAGAGCCTGGCGCACCTCCAGCAGGCCTTTCCTGCCCAGGCGCCCCTTAACCCATGTGGATGGAGCTGGAGAAGCTGTAGCCCCTCTCTGGAGGTGTCTTGACTAAAGCTGCTTAAATTAATACTCAATGCCCACCCCCCTCCCTGGCCAGGTCATCATGGGATGAGCAGTGATGAGAGTGGGCTGGCATCACAGCTGATCTCCCAAGGGGTCAGTGGCTGCATGTGCCAGAAAGGAAGTGGGAAGGCATCGGTCCCATCTGGGAAACAGGGAATTGTGCTGTAACCCCAATTTCTTAATCTAACTTTGACTTCCTTGATCTCACCTCAGCCCATTTCTGATCCAGATAGGACAAAGGAGGGGATGGAATATGCTCCAATCTGTCTTTCAACATGCCGCACCCTGTGACTAATAAAACACTGCTCCGAGCCCTACCCTAACTGCGCCAGACATCGTTAGTCACCCACCATGGTCAATCTCCTTTCCTTTTGTCAACCAAAGTTTACTAGAAACAGTAGTGTTCAGGCCCAAAAGACAAGTGCCGGTCTGTGACTTAGCCATTCTCTGTGCTATCTTAACAAATTTACATTTAGAGGTTTGCGATGTGGCCCACTTGATGATGTCTTTTTTTTTTTTTTAAGATTTATTTATTTTATGTATACAAGAGCCTAGGTGTAGGCTAGAGGCATAAGAGCAGAGGGAGAGAGGAAGAGGAGTCACCAGAGACAGAACAGGGAGCTGAACAGATGGATCCATTGAAACACTGTTGAGGGGAGCAGCGGGCCAGACAGGAGAGGTTTGCTGCGCCGTGTGGGTCAGCTCCCTGGCTGCAAAGGCTGCCGATAGCTCCGTAGTGCTGAGACTTAGTCCCCACCAAGGAGGCCCTGATATCTCTTGAGAGAGATTTTTGCCTACTAGATGACTTCTTTCTGCTTGGCAGCTTGTATGAGGATTAGTTCTACAACCTTCCTAGGCTGTGAGGCCATGAAATGCCAAGACCCATGGTGGGCAAAGGCAGGCATAGTAAGCACCTGCCTGTAGTTCTGGTGACCCATGAGCAATCCCTGAAACTACCACCAGACTTCTAACATGAGTAGGATATTCCCCATTCATTTATGCTAGTTTTTCCTTGCATTCAAAAATATGACTAACTGAAGCATTACTTCTGAGTTCCCAAAAAGTTACTTCCTCCAGGAAACATTCCCTGACTATTAAGGACAGGATCAAGGGCCCCATCTCTGAGCGGCAGGGGCACGGAGCAGGTGCTGATCTTTGCAGTTGCGCATACCACAAGAGCAGCGGCAGGAGCCCTGCGTGTTCACCATTTCATTCCTTAACCAGCACATTTAGTGAACGAACAAGCACTGCATTGTTGACCGCTGGCACGACTGCCTGGAGGGCAGACACTGGCCCTGGCCCTTACAAACAGTCCAAATGGCACTCCTCTTGCCCTCTGCAGAAGGGGGGTGTATGTGCACATGCTGGACTGAGGGGCGACGCCTTTGGGGTGTGGAGGAGACAGCTGCCACTCCCTGCCCGGGCCAGGCTGCCTTTCTTCAGAACGTGGGTCGCTGCAGTGACTCGTTCTCTGGTTTTTGGTTTGGTTTTAGATAGAGCCGCAGCCACCCTCCACCCACCACGCTGCTCTGACGCACTTGTAGTGTATACAGCTCAACGGCACCCGGGAGAACAGTGAGACGCAGCTTCTGTCCTTGCCCAGAGGGAAGCGAACCAGAGCTGCACTGCCCTGGGCACAGTGGGACACCATGACTACTGCACCTCTTGATTAGCTAAATCACTGTGAAAAGTCTAACTTCAAGTCACTCAGCTTCTCACAGCTTTCCAACTGAGGTGTTATCTTTCAACAAATAGGCAGTAGGGACGCAGGTCTGTCCAACTCCAAGGCAGTTCGGGGTTGGCCGAGTGGGTCAGGGGCCCACCCCGTGCAATATCACCTAAGGAAGAGTACATCAGAGGTTAGAGTATAAAAATTTTATTACACATACAGAGTATTACCACTAACAAATGCAGACAGGCTAGGGAGGACACAATACTATTTGATGAAGGACAGCTAGCTCTTTGGAAAGTGGACAGGGTTGGGTGGCTGGGGCCTCATGCCGTGTGGACTGGCCAGTCAGACAGGAGAGCACATGCCAAACACCACGGGCGACCAGGGCAAGGGCCTGCCGCGTGAGCCCACTGCCTTCCATGACTGATCCGGAGTTTCGAAGGAAGCCACACCCAGGAGCAAGCGACTGAAGCAAAGGGATGCCCGAAGGCAGCCCAGCTTGTCTCTGAAGTCGCGGCTACACCACGGTAAGCAGCGTGTTTCATAGGATGGTTTCCACAAACTATACGCAAAGTGTCTAACTGTCACAATTCCGTGAAGTACAAAACACTGAGTTACAGGCTGTGGGGAAGAGACGGTGCACCCACGGTGTCACCTTCCAATCCTGGTCGGTCTGGGGCGGGGAGAGGGGAGGTTTCTTTTTAAACCAAGCCCTCATTTCAATGTACAAAAGAATTTCTCTGATCGATATTAAATTGTATTCGAAAACAAAAGTAACTAAAAAGCAAATACTAGTCTATGTTGGGGAGGAAATGGGAGGAAAGAATGAGTCCTTCAAAGCAGGAGGGAAGACAATCGGGGAGAAGTCCAGTGGCTGTGGTCACTCACGCTGCTCCATTTTTACTTTCGGTGGTCTCAGGAAGGTCCGATTTTTCTTCTCTTTCTTCCCCTTTGTATTGGCTTGGAAGTTTCTCCAGCTGTCTACACGACCATCTCGACTTTCCTAGCGTGAAAGAAGGAGATGTGAGGTGAGAAAGCTAGTCAAGGAGAGAAAGGACACGAACCTGCTCCGCACTCTCCAGGCGCCCCGCCCCGCCCCATCCTGTCCCGCCCTCTGGAGGAGAACAAAGCAGAGTAGAACAGAGCTTTTCTTCCACTTCATGACACCAGGCAAGTGTCATACCAGCCCTAGAAGCTCCAGTTGGAATGAGGAATATTCACCGCAACAATTAAGCCACCATTTGCTGGATGCTCTCTGAGCTAGACATTTAGCACATTATTGTTAACCTCATAAAAAGCTGGCTGCAGAATGTTGGGTCGTGGGCACTTCAGGAAGGATGCTGCCAAGACTCAGAGAAGTTAAATCCTTTTCTCAAAACTAGATGAATAGCAAGCAGTATGGCCACTCCTTCCTTTCTGCCCTCAGAACTTACTTAGATGGATGCTCAAAGTCAGCACACGGCCTACTTAGTTGTGCTGAGAATGCCACTATGGTCTCTATCAAGTCCTCACTTCTCTTTTCCCATGTGCAAAAGGCCAAAGATAATCAACTCTGGTTACCAACCCCTACCCTGAGACTTAATCTACCTCCTAAATTAAATGTGCAAGCCCTGCTCTTTTATTATTTTTTTATTTACTTATGCATACAGAACTGGTGTACAGGTTAGAGGTGCCAGGGCGGTGAGAGGACTCACCAGAGACAGAGTGGGGAGCAGAACAGGTGGATCTACTGAAACACACTGCTGAGGGGAGCAGCAGGCAAGACAGGAGAGGTCTGCTGTGCCTTGTGGGTCAGCTCCCTGCCAGGAATGGAACTTGTGCCGAAGCAGCTGCAGCCAACTTCGCAGTTTTAACAAGCTGTGGCACCATGGAGGCACTGTTATTGAATGCACCTGGCAGTTGTACTTACCATAATCTTTAAAAAACCATTCAGGGGCCTCCCTGGTGATACAGGATTTAAAAACAGCACTGTCAAGCTACCTCCAGCCACTGCAACATGAGTTCGATCCCCGGCCAGGGAACTGACCCACATGGCACAGCAGACCTCTCCTGTCTTGCTTGCTGCTCCCCTCAGCAGTGTATTTCAGTCAATCTGCCTGTTCAGTTGCCCACTCTGTCTCTGGTGAATCCTCTCACTCAGCCCCCAACATACCTCTGATCTGCATCCCAGTTCTTATATGCATAAATAAGCAAATCTTTAAAAAAAAAAAAAACAAAAAAAAAACAATCAGGATCCTCACTGGCCTTGCCAGTGCTCAGAGCTGACAGGTGGCTGAATCAGGCCTTAGTCTCTAAAGTTTCCACTCTTCCCCACATACCCCATTTCCCTGTCTGCTTCTGTCACTCCTGAGAATGCAACAGGACCCAGTTTCTAAATGCGAAGTTTTCTTACTCTGGAATAAAAGCCACGGCTACTTTGAAATTTACCTCAAAGTTTTTCTGCCACTCCCTTTCTCGCTTAGCTTTCTCTTGAGCTTCAATCTCTTCTTCCCTTTGTCGCTTCCTAGAAGGAAAACCAGATCATAGTATTTATATGGAGACTTTATTAACCATACAAATTAAGGCATCGCCCCATAGAAGCAAGCATATACACTAACTAAATCAGTCCTCTGGAGTTCTACAAAGACGGCTGCCTAGAAAGGCTCTATTGTGAATGCCTGACTCTAAAACATGCAGATGAGACCGAGGAGAGGAGGGCTGTGGGTAGGTTAAGGTCGTCCAAGCTCAGTCAACACTAATCAGAGGTACTGGGCTCAGTGTGTGGCAAGCCTCCTTGAGAATCCAAGCCACTTTACTTCAGCAGAATGACCTTTGTAATACCAGGGGTTCTTACTCAAGATCTCTGGACAAAAGCCTATCACAAACAAGAACCTTTCATATAACTTCAAACAGTAAAAAAATGTCACTGCTAAACACCCATCAACAATAAACTCAATTAAGCTCAAACTTTCTGATAAACAAAAGAAAAGTAAACATTCTGAAAGTGACTACATTGTACAATACTAACCCTTTTCATTCCAGAAAATCAGGAAGACACACATTCTTGACTACAAACTCCTTAAGTACAGGTCTATTCAATATTTTCTGGAGTCAGACTCTCTTGCCCTGGTGATTCAAAGATTTGGCTGTTGTAGTTAACATTCTGTGTGATGCCTTTGTTAGATGACTCCCCAATGGAATTCTAAATGGTTTTACATAGGTATTTAGATACAGTTTACATAATGAATACACTCATATATACCTTTCATGCATTTCTTTGGCTTCTCTCTCTTTCCTTTTAATTTCCAGCTCAGCAAACAATTTCATGGTCTGTTTATATACTGCTTGTTTGAACTATAAAAAAAATCAAGAAAAGAAAATAAAAGCAGGTTATTTATCAGCAACTCGAATTAAGTACATTTAGATGGAAATTAAGATAAATGCAGATTAGGACCCAGCAGGGAAAAAAAATTTCTTCAGCACAAACTTCGGTGAGTTGACTCTCCCTCATGAGATAAAAACCTGCCTTTGCCATCTTTCCACTTTCACTATGCACATAACACACAGTAACCTCATTCCTGGGAAAGCAAGGACTTCTGCGCCTTTACTCCACAACTTGAGGTTTTAGAGGACCCTTTCCTCTAAAAAAAACTTCAAAAAATAACTCATGCTTTCCATAAATATTATGTCATAACTGTGCAAGGCACTGAACTAGGAACTAAAATAGGAAGCTGCTCTGAACTAGCCCAGCCTCAGGGGTCTCCTGGCTCTGGCAGAGCTACGACTTGACCCCTCTTGGTTTTCCAGCATCTGTTCTCCGTCCCATTAGTCCCTGTTGAGGCACACAGTCACCAAACTTAAAAGTGTTGTTTCCCAGCCTTCCTTGCCATGAGGTGCGGTCACGTAACTTAAGTTTCAGTCAGTGGGATATCTGGAAATATGATGTAGAAACTGCCTGGGAATCTCAGAAGGATCAGGCTTAGCCCCTGCTGCCCTCTTCCTCGATGCTGTTACATGGCGCCCGGGAGAGAGGCTGACACATCCTGGCCTCTGAGGCCAGGGAAAACCCCCTTTTGGCAAGGCCACAGGAAAGTGCTTGGATGAAACGTGGTCCACAGCTGCCAGGCCAGCGGCTATCTGCCCAAAGACTACCGCACAGAAAACAAATTATACTTTCTTGTTCAAGACCTCATGACTTTGTCGCAGTGTCCGCTTGAATTTATATTCTAACTGATACACTGATCAGAAAAAGAACACAACATTGGATAGAAAACAGAACTCTCTCTTTAAAATGTCCCCTGCTCAAAAAAAATTTAAATATACAAAAAATAATCTACCATACAGATTTCATAGAGCCAATATCCTAAAATCAGAGACACTGCAAAGTCTGTCACCTCTTCCATACTGTAATTTCCAGGCACTGCTCAATGCTGACAAGACCCAGCCCCCAATAAAGGCAAACAGCAAGAGTGAGAGAAGCTCTAATGAGTATGTCAATTATTTCTGGAAACTCCACTCTCCTGATGGACCATTACTAGGGATTCTGATTTTTTTCTATCACCATTTTTTTAGTTGTCTTTTACCTCTCCTGATTATAAAGGCTCACTTTTTCTGTCAATTATTACCTGAATACGATAAGTGCTTGTGGCTACTAAATAGCTTTCACCAAGAGTCACCTGTGGTTGCTCCCCAAGCTGTCTATGCCAGATGCAGCTGTTTCTGTACTTATATAATTTAAGCATTACAGACTTGATAGATGTTGTTATAAAAACAAATGCTTATTATTTCTTTTAAACTAAGCTGAATGCTTATGAAATATTCATAAGACATGAGTCCCTAAAAGTAGCTGCTATTCCAGTAAAGTATCAGTAAGACATCTGGAGAAGACTCCCAAGTTTCCAATGTACCTCAATAGAAATCACAAGTCGAATCTATGGGTAATGCTTGCGTTCACCTTTTACAAAACACAGTCAACTGCAAATGCACAAAGAAAAGGCCATAGCACTACATCAAAAAGGGTGAATAAAAAAGTGGGGAGGGTGTGTGTGAATGTACATTTAAATATTTTTGGTTAAAATGTTCAAACAACACCTTGCATCATTCTTCAGACTTCCCTTTCTCTAACCCGCCAATCAGTTTAATGAACCATGCGAGAGCAAACAGTTTTGACCATATTTAACTCACCAGCTCAGGATCATCCTCCTCCACATTTGTAGGTTTTCCTTCCTTCTTTAATTGCTTTTTTCGCTCTTTCACCTAGGAAGAATTTTTCCCATCAAAAAAATGAGGCAATACTTTGAGAATATCCACTGATCTGCACACATGATATGTGCCCTTGTCTATAGATAAAACACAAGGTTGATGTTAAAAAAGAATTTTAAATGAGCCTCTCCCCCCACCTCCAAAACAGCAACAATATCAAGGAAGGCTAGGAACCAGCAGCCCTTTCTCGAACCTCACCTAAAATCCAAGGGTGAATGGGGACAAGAGGGAAGTTGTCCCCAACTTACCACATCCAAAAAGCCTCTGGTATGTTGAAAGGATTACCCACTTATCTCTCACAGCTATGTGTTTATAGCAAAGGAAATGTACTTGACAAATTTGAGAAGCAACTACAGAATTTGTGGCATTAAGTGTAATTGCTTTCTGGCATTTCTACAACTATAATCCTGATAATGTTCACTGTGAGACGGGCAAAAGTGCCTTAAGCCATCATACTGATGTTTTTATCACTCTGGCAACCATAGAGATTCAAAAAATTAGGTATACCATTCACACCAGAATTATATTTTTCTATTAGATAACAAGATCAGTCCCATAGCTCCAACAAAAATCCAGGGCTTCTACCCTCAGAATGCCCTACTGCCACCTTGTGGTCAAAAAGCCTGTGGACAGCTCCTTCACAAACTAATACCACAATGATTTAAGGAAAATCATTAGAGATCACAAACGTTTCTGATCTCTAACCAGATTTTGGTCTCCAGGAGTCACTTCCAACACAATGATCAATAGGGCACATTTATGACTATCTGTCTCCTCTTTTCACCCATTTCCTCATTACTGATATACTCACTAGTATTGTTACTAGTTGTACAGTTGTTTCAAATTCCCAAAGCTCTTCATAGAAAAAGGTCCCAACCATATTCACTCCCAGCTGAAACATCTCCTACAAATGGTCTCAAGAATCTTGTCCCAGCAAGTAAAATAGTAAAGCAAAGACCTTTCTCATCTAACGCAAGGTATCTTAACATTTCCCACTACCCAGGAGATTTAGATAGTGCCCCCCACACAAAAGACCCCAAGCTAACACTGAATTTATTTCAGTCAAGTCCTCCCCAGCACTGTTAATGTAAGTACGTACCACCTATTTAAAAAATTTTTACTCATATCCCCTTGCCTGTTTTTCTAAAGCCCATGTCCCAACCCCGTCATAGAGATAAGAATAGGAATCAAGGCTCAAGCATCACAAAGGCTGTTCCACTTTTCCATTCTCAAAAATGGGGTACTGGACAACATGTGATGAAATGACATGAGAAGTCCTCTCCACAACATGGAGCCAGTGGGGAACAAAGTAGGAGCTGCATCCTAGCTACTCCCAGCCTGAGCTCTACAGTGAACTACGTTCTTCCGTAGGCCTAAGCATAAACTTTTCGATTCATGTCCACCACAGCCAGTGGTGAGCACACAAGAAGTCACGAGTTATGCCAGTGGGCATTGCTTCATTACCATTTACCCTCCTATAAGGTGCTAATACTTCCTGTAAACACAGCAGCACTATAAATACTTACAGTGTGTTCCACGTATTCTTTTCCTGCCTGAATTACATCCAGGGCCCTCTTCTTTTGTTCCTGATCCAGTAGCAACTTGTAAGCTTTGTCCACAGCTAATGCAAAACATTGAAATTAACTGTTTCTGCAAACACCCTCTGAAAGTCTGAACTATACTCAGGCAGTGTAAATGGACTTGTGCTATCTAAAAGCACTCCCTACTTGGTTAAACTATTATTTACTGTTTTCAAACTAATTTAAAAAGATACAACTGTAACAGTGACTTTCCTCCTGAGTCTTGGGAAAAAAGTAAATATACACTTGAGGCTAACTAAATACACCATATCTAGATTTAATTCAATGATAACATATGTCCAATTATTTTTATGTTTTTTAAAAAAGATCCTATGCATTAACAGTCTTTGTTAGCAATTAAAGTTGTAACAAAGCAAAATTATGGTCTACTTACTATACAGTGACATTGTGCTTTAGAATGACAACTGCTCTACTGAAAACCAGTTTCATGACCAGAAAATAAAACTATAACAATCGTTCTTGATCCAGAACAAGGAAGTCAGCCCCTAGCACTGACAATGTATTATGCAGAGCAGGTAAATTTACAAATACCTTCAAAAGCCTTTTGTGCTCTGTCAGCATCATCTTGATTTTTGTCAGGATGCACCAATATGGATAACTACAGGAAGAGAAAAGTTAGACTTGTCAATAAGAAGATCAGTAACTTTTCACCTGTATTTGGCCTCATTATAAAATTAAGTTTTTTTTTTAAAGATTTATTTATGTATGCATGCAGAACAGAGGGTACTGGCCAGAGGTGCAGGAGTGGTGAGAAGATTCACCAGAGGCAGAGTGGGGGAGCTGAACAGGCAGACTGACAAAGTACACTGCTGAGGGGAGCAGCAGGAGAGACAGGAGAGATCTGCTGTGCCATATGGATCACCTCTGGGGCTGGGAATTGAACTGTCACTGAAGCGGCTGCGGCGAGCTTGCAGTGCTGCATCCTAGGAGGGCCAGAATCTTAGGTTCTAATTCTGGTTTCAATCACCTACTAGCTGTGAGCTCTTAAGCAATTCATTTAACCTTTCTCTTAGTCAGTTTCCTCTTCTGCATTTAGATGGACAATACGAGGTACTTACAAGCTAATTGTTGTAAAACTGAAATGAGATAATGTTAAGAACTCAGCATACTGTCTAAAACACAACTATAGCCAGGACCTATTCCAAGTGACTTACGTGTATTATCTCCTTGAAATAATTACAGTAACCTTCTGGGGTGAGCACCATCATTATGTGCATTCTACAAATGAAGTTAACAAGTACAGAAAGTGTCTAAGTTCACACAGCTCCCAAAAGGTACAGTCAAGACTGAGACACAAGTCATAAAGCTCCAGCACCCAATCTTTTAACTACTAGACCATATTGACAAAATTTAAGAACTCTGAAGAGTTATTTGATAGCTACTTAAAAAGTTGTTTGGGGGGCCTTTCCAGGGGTGGCAAGGGGTTATGTCTCAGCACTATGAAGCTATTGGCAGGAACTGCAGCACAAGTTCCAGCCCTGGCCATGGAGGTGATCCACATGGAGCAGCAGGCCTCTCCTGTCTTGCCCAATGCCTCCCTCAGCACAGTATTTCAGTCGATCTGCCTGTTCTGCTCCCCACTCTGTCTCTGGTGACTCTTCTCTCACATACTCATATCCCTGCACCTTTGTCCTACATCCCAGTTTTATATGCATAAATAAATCTTTAAAAAAAATTGTTTTGACTATAGATTTGAATGTTTGTTTATTTAATTAGAAAGACTAAAGCATAGAATTAGGACATTTGAAACTTAAGAAAAAAGCTTAATATAAAAGTGCAAAATAGGGCCCCCTCCCTGGTGGCGCAGCAGGTTAGGACGCAGGACTGCAAGCTAGCCACAGCCGCTTCAGTGCGAGTTTGATCCCCAGCCCTGGAGGTGACCCATAGGGGTGGCAGACCTCTCCTGACCCGCCCGCTGCTCCCCTCAGCAGTGTACTTCATCAGTCTGCCTGTTCTGCTCCCCGCTCTGTCTCTGGTGAATCCTCTCACCACCCCTGCACCTCTGGCCTGTACCCCAGTTCTGTATGCATAAATAAATAAATTTTTATTTTAAAAAAGTGCAAAATAGAACCTGGGAAATAATCCATTAAGTTATGTAATAGGAGATAACTGAATAGATAAAGAAAAAAAATCTCGGCTTATTAGCAGATCAGAGGATGATTACGAGCCAGCAATATGGGGGCAATGACTGCTGAAGCAGGCATGACACTGGGTACTAAAGCATCATGCAGGAACTGTGAGCTCAGCACTGATAAGACCCTATTAAATATAAGTGCATAGGTGAGATAAAGAAGATGGAGAAAGTTAAAAACAAAAAAAAGGACATGAAATCTAAGAAAATTTAAAATGGCAAAGCTGTTAAGGGAGAGTAGATTATTCAACTCACTGAAGAAAGAGCTGGGGTAAGTCAACTGCCAAAAATGGAAGGTGTTTTAAAAGGCCACTCTACAACTTTATAGCCTTTAGTAAACATTTGCATGGGTAAGAATCAGACATTGTGTCTCCTTTCCTAGAGAACTCTTCAGAAAGCACTCTTTATATTAAACCAGATATCTTTTAGGTATTCATTTAAGTTTGCAAAACTCAAATTAAAGGAACGGGATCTTAGAAATAAAAAAATTATATGAATCAGTTAACATAGTATCTCCTAGAAACCAGAGGATTTAGCAAGTATGACTTCATGTAAGTCCTAATCAACCTGTACTTCTCCTAATAAGGGGAGAATATTCTATATGAATAGAAAGTTCATTTTATTCACAAGCTGGCTATCAAGATTAAGATGACAATACAAAAATCTTTTTTAAGTTTTTCTGAGTTACAAAGCCCTAAGTTAAAAAAATTTCATTTTGGCCCCAAAGTAATATTAGCAAATCCTAACATAATCATGTACATAATATATTTTTAAAAGGTTCACACTCCATCTATTTACAGAGAGATAGTACTGTACCTGCCGAAACCTCTTTTTTATTTCTTCATCTGTCACTTCAGGATCTATCTGAAGAACCTGGAAGAATCAAAATCAAAACTGTAAAAGAAATTAAAAGAATGTATAAATTTAAGAGGTGCCCAATAATTACACACACATTACAGTAAGCATCAAAATAATACTAAGCATACTAGACCAGCACCTGGAATAGTTCTAAAAATGCTCAAGAAACATAAATGAGCAAATCAATATCAAAATAATAGCTATACTGTTGTAGAGTTCTCGATCAGTACAGTGGCTACTTTAACTCCATCAGAAAAGTAATAACCAGAAACATGTTTTCAGTCTTGAGAAAATGTCGCATTTCTCCTTCATTCTTGAAGTGTCCTCCCTAACACACACTCATACTTAACCTTTGCAGATGTAAGAAAGCACAGCAACTCAACAGGGAAAAATCTAGCCTGGCCACCTGGTATTTATCGTCCAGATATGCCCACTTGCACCATCCATCAGCAGCAATTTACATGACCCAGTGGTTCTCAACCCCGAGTGAACATCAGAATCACACTGTGGAAACCTGAAAGCAATGCTCAGCACCTGCTCTGGGGAAGTCTGATTCCAAATCAGCAGAACTGGGATATGTATGACCCAATGGCAAGGAACATTTGTATTTTTTTTTTTTAAGATTTATTTATTTATGCAGACAGAATTGGGGTACAGGCCAGAGGTGCAGGAGGTGAGAGGATTCACCAGAGCCAGAGTGGGGCGCAGAACAGGCAGATGGACTTAAATTTACTGTGGAGGGGAGTGACGGGCAGGTCAGGAGAGCTCTGCCGCGCCATGTGGGTCACCTCCCTGGTGGGGAACTGAAGTTGTGCTGCAGTGGCTGCAGATAGCTTCATAGTGCTGTGTTTTAACCCCTTGCCCCACCAGAGAGATCCAACATTTGTATTTTTAAGCATCGTTTTAAAAATGAACATTCCTTTGCACTCTGGTAGTTTAGTGTTGATATTGAGTATTCTGACCCTATCACTGAAATACACACATTCCTTCAAACATCTATATAGTAGCTACTACCAGCTGCACAACTGCTACATACTAGAAATGCATCCATAAGTAAGCAGGTAAGACCTTTTTTTAAGTGCTTTTTAAGAAAAAGAAAAATGTACAATTAAAAGGATAGGGTCATTGGGCCCTCCCTTGTGGCGCAATGTGTTAAAGCACAACACTAGGAAGCTAAAGCCACTTCAGCATGAGTTCAATCCCTGGCCAGGGGGTGACCCACATGGTGTGGCAGACCTCTTCTGGCCCGTCTGCTGCTCCCCTCAGGAGTGTATTTCAGTGCATCTGCCTGTTCTACTCCCCGCTGTCTCTGGTAAATCTTCTTACTGCCCCTGCACCTCTGGCCTGTACCTCAGTTCTGTATGTATAAATGAATAAATGCTTTAAAAGAAGAAAAAAAAAAAAGCATGTTGTATTAAAATAAATAAAAGGATAGGGTGATTGTACAGTTCATGGATTCGCTATAGCACCTGTTACATATTTATTTACTTAGCATTCTAGGTCAGAAGAATGTGCTAAAACAGCAGAAGGTGAGAAGACTGTCAAAAATTCAGAAAGCAGGCTCCACTTCAGTGCAAATAAATCAGAATCAGTTAAAAATCTCCAGGGGATTTGAATCATATTAAGATTTGAGAAACCCTGATTTAAAAAAAGGATAAGGGGGTTAGAAGTGCAAAATTAGTAGAATTGAGGGTCCATTATTAAAAGGAGCAAAGAGAACCAAAAAAAAATCTTGAAGCGAAAAATAGCTTGAAACAAAAATTGAAAAGTAATCTGTCATGATAATCAGATGCTTACAGGGTCTTAGAAAAACCTGGACCAAATAACATCAAGATTTATACCAGGCCCTTCCTGGTGGCACAATGGGTTAAAGCACAGCAATGCAAGCAAGCTACAGCTGCTTCAGTGCAAGTTTGACCCCTGGCCCTGGAGGTGACCCACATGGCTAGGCAGATCTCTTCTGACCTGTCCCCTTCCCCCCTCAGCAGTGTACTTTGTGAATCTGCCTGTTCTGCTCCCCACTCTGTCTCTCGTGAATCTTCTCACCACCTCTGCACCTCTGGCCTGTACCCCAATTCTGTATGCATAAATAAGTAAATCTTAAGAAGATTTATACCCAGCTCTCAAAACATGCCAACTGTCCACCTACAATGGAGTTACTGATAGGTGATGAAGCTGAATCACCGCTGCATTAAAGACTTTTAAAGGTTATGACAAAAGCATACCCATTCTCAAATTCTAGGCATACATATGGGGAGAAGGAAAAAAACTTAACAAAAAATTTTCAAATCAGCGTACCCTGTCAAACCACGGGAGAAAAGAGTTGGGGAGGAGGAACATCACTCAAGAGGAAGAAGGCAGCATATAAGAGAGACAGCAGGCTGTAACTGCAAAAACACAAATATTTAAAGAAAAATCTTACCTTCCTTGGTTTTGAGGAAAAGGACTGTATTAGACCAAAACAAAGCCTAACAAACCCTAAAAGATATCCAAAATGAGAAAGGATGGAAATGTTCCCAAGTTCATCAGAAAAACCTTCCATGAAGTTAGTATCATCATGCCAAATGTGGGGCCTTCCTGGTGGCACAAGTCTCAGTGCTGTCAGGCTATCACCAACCACTGTGGCATGAGTTCAATCCCTGGCCAGGGAGCTGACCCACATGGCACAGCAGTCATCTCAGGTCTCATCTGCTACTCCCTTTAGCAGTATATTTAAGTAAATCTGCCTGTTCTATCCCCCAATCTGTCTCAGGTGAATCCTCTTACCCCCACACCTCTAGCCAACACCTCAATTCTTTTATGCATTAAAAAAAATGAGTAAAGTACACAGATGTGAAGCATCTGTGATAGTGTTGCAACTTCCCAATGACTTGGCGCAAAGTCAGAGTATACACATACAAGCAATAAATATTCACTGACTGCCTCCAAAGCTAATCCAACTCCTGTTTCTGATATTTAAGAGTTGGAAACAGTGAAATAGTGAGGCCAGGAAAACAGTGGGAACAATAAGCCTAAAACTTTTTAAGCCAAATTTTAAACATTCAATGCAAAGTTCTGGAGAATTGCTAGATATTGTGTTACTAGCGCTCTCCTGGAATTTAAGATCCAGCAGGGAAGGGACCAGTAACAAGTAATTCTTATAAAAGTGACTAAAACCAATACAGCTCTCAGGAAGCACAAAGGTCTATTCAGATTCTTGGAAAGTTTTTCTGAACTCCTTTTATGCCCAGGCTCTGGGGATACTACAATGAAAAGCCCCAACTTAGATCTCAAACTTAACTAATCACAGAAAACATGGCATTTATATAAGTTCCTGAACTCATACAAACTATAGTAGTCTCCTTTAGGATCTCTTGAAATAGAAATCCAGTCTTAGGTCAGACGTGAACTCACTAACCTGTTAACAAAGTACAAGTTCCAGATGCTGTGAAATAAATAACTACAAGGTACTGAGTAAGATAAATGGAAAACAAAGCTGCCTACTTGAGCCTGAAAATTAAATGAAAAGAATGTACATAAAAAGGGCAGGAGTGAGCAGGCATAATGGCTCCTTTAAGCTTATGGAAAGCTTCAGCACCCTTAATCAGAGAATAATTATCAGAAGCTTAAGAGATATGGGCTGAAAGTTAGAAATCTGTCCAAACAGGGAGCTGTAGGAAGGGTGGAGAAGAGGTTCCCTGAACAAGGATTCCTACAATAAGGCCCTTCAAATCCCCAATCTAATTTCTCCCTTTTCTATTGTTGCCTAGTAAGAGGGTGTATAGGAAGCCTATTCACATTTTAATTTATCTGAGAGGACAGCTATTACTTCTTAGCAGAAAAAGAACCAGTCTGTTTAACTCTGCAAAAAAACCTGATTCATTTAGGTATCTCAACAGTTGCTACATGAAAAACAGAAGTCACTGATTTCCTTAATCACCTAATTCAGTCAAAAGCTACTTTTTTTTTTTAAGACTTATTTATTTATGCATACAGAACTGGGGTACAAGCCAGAGGTGCAGGGACGGTGAGAGGCACCAGAGGCAGAGTAGAAAGCAGAACAGGCTGATGGACAAAGTACACTGCTGAGGGGAGCAGCAGACGCAACAGGAGAGGTCTGCCATGCCTTGTGGGTCACCTCCAGGGCTGGGGATTGAACTCACACTGAAGCAGTTGCAGCAAGCTTGCAGTGCTGTGTCCTTACCTGTTGCGCCACCAGGAAGAGCCACAACTTTTTTTTTTTTTTAAGTTTTATCTATTTATGCACATAAGAACTAGGGTAAAGGCTAGAGATGCAGAGGGTGAGATGCTTCACCAGAGACAGAGTGGGGAGCAGAACAGGCAGATCTACTGAAATATACTGCTGAGGGGAACAGCAGGCGAGACAGGAGAAATCTGCTGTGTCATGTGGGTCAGCTCCCTGGCCAGGGATCAAACTCATGCCATAGTGGCTGAGACTTAACCCCTGCACCACCAGGGAGGCTCTACCTTTTTTTTTTTTTTAATTGCAGTGCAACAGAGAAGTTTTAACCAGTAAGTTAAATCAAAGACCTTAAATTGGTCGAGGTTAACTATCCCTTTACATCTGAAGATAAATCTGTATATACTGGGGTTGCTACAAAATGGAGAATGATTGCTAGAGCAAAGAGCAAAACGACCACCTCATTTTCCTCACATGCTGCCATTCAAGTTCTTTTCACACACTATCCATGTTCAGTTCGAACTATGACACAAAACAGGTGTGTATTATGCTGTAAGCAAGCATGCAACTATGCAAAGCTCCCCTTCACAGAGGCCATGGCAACCAGCTCACCTCAAAGGGGTTCAAATTGAAGTAGGAAGAACCAGGACGGGTCAATCTTTCAATCTGATTTTTGGATGTTAGAACTGAATCTCTCTTCTCTATTTGTTTTACCTAAAATTAAAGAGACAAAAATTTCATTAGCACAGTAATAAACTCTAAGCTGTCTATACTGTTCAATGTTGTCTATGTTATTTAATCACACATTCTGGAAATATTTATCTGTATGTCTACATGTACCAGATATTTTGTTAAATACTGTGAATAATAATTATAATTACCATTCATTCATTTTAAGACTGTAAAAACTTTACAAAAGCTTATTACACTCAACAATCCCATATGGTAGACACTTAGAGATTTATAGACTGAGTTATTCCCAATTACGAAACTTATAAATAGAATTTGAACCCAAAAAGTCTGACTCCAGAGCAGGCATGAAGAGAACTTGCAGATCAGTTACAGTCATCATCTTCAAAGAGCTTCCACTATGATGCAGATATACTTGCTATTTTTATGCTTAATTTACATATTTTTATTTTAAGGAAAAAGTTATACTAAAATTCACACAAAAAGCAGTATTTAAAATGTGTATGGGAAGACACAAATAACTCTCTACCTACTCTAACAGTTCAAAAATTTCTGACCTGAAGACAATGCTAAAGAGAATAAAGAGAGAATAAGAAAAGACAACAAAGAAGAGGGAAGAGAAAGAGGAGGAAGAAGAAACCTAGCACCAAGTAGTCCCAGGAAAACATCCTTGGTGTCGATGTGAAAGACAGAATGATAGCTGAAATGAGTAAATGTGTATACACCATTTCTATTCCTATGGCTAAAGAGACTGAAAAAATTTTCAGTAACATAAAGTCATTCCTTCTAAGCATACTCCTCCTTCATCCTTTTTAAAATAGCTTCCATTCCTTTCCATACTATCTACTTTCCCAGGCTTATATTTCCATATAACAGCCACTTTGACCTATCTCCTACATGTTTATCCACCACAGAATGCAAGTTCTAGAAAGGCAGTGTTTTTGTGTCTGTTGTTCAATATATATATATCTCCAACCCCTAAGCAGTACATCAGTACATGTCAGGTACTCAATAAAAAATGGCTGAATATGACTGAAAGGCCGTCCTTTAGAGACTTTCTCTCATTCAGTTAAAAAATACCAAGGTCACATTCTTTATTTTAGTAAAAGGTAAGTGAAATAAGTTCCACTGTAATTGTTGAGCAGTCATTAGAAGCCAAAAAACTTTGGTATCAAGTTGGAAACTCCAGGTAAGAATGAAGTCAATTCAGGATTGACTTTCAAATGACTGGAAGTTTCAAAAAGGCATACTAAAAGCATGTGCTAATATATATTTTTTTAGCTTTTTAAAAAGATTTATTTATTTATGCCTGCAACAACTGGGGTATAGGCTAGAGATGCAGGGGTGAGAGGATTCACCAGAGACAGAGTGGGGTGCAGAACAGGCAGACTGACTGAAATACACTGCTGAGGGGAGTAGTGGGCAAGACAGCAAGGTCCGCTGGGCCATATGGGTGAGCTCCTTGGCTGGGGACCTAACTTGTGCTGCAGTGGCTGTGGATAGCTTCATAGTGCTACACTTTAACCCTGTGCCACCAGGGAGGGCCCTAATGATCCTTTTTAATGTAATACACAGTGTTTAAAATATCAGAGATAAAAGGTGAATGCCACATAGTGCTGAATGGAGCTCACAATCTGGAGGGCACCAACTCTATTCCTCAAATCAATGTCAACTTTAATGAGGTCCATCTTCAACCTTTTTTTTTTTTAACTCTGAGAAAGATACTTGTGCTTTAGATTTTAAGACCACTTTTTAGGGAGCTCTCTGCTCGTACAGGGATTAAGTCTCAGAACAATGAAGCTATTGACAACACTGCAGCACAAGTTCAATGCCTGTCAGGTAGCTGACCCACAGGGCACACCAGCCCTCTCCTGTCTGGCCCACTACTGCCCTCAGCAGTGTATTTCAGTAGATCTGCTTGTTCTGCTTCCCACTCTTGTCTGGTGAATCCTCTCACTCCCAAACTTCTGGCCTGTCCAGTTCTTGTATGCATAAATAAATACATCTTTAAAAAAACAAAAAGGACCTCTTTTTATAGTCTCCTTCAATTCTCTTAAAAACTCTTGTTTTAAATGTCAGCTCTCCTTTTACAGACCTGTAAACTAAGGATCTGCAAAACTGCTGCCTTGAAATAATGCAATCTGTCATGACAACTACCTTGCATAAATCCAATCTGTGGCTCACTCACTCCAAAGGATATGCCTTTCTTTCATCTACTCCTTCATTTACTCATTATTTCCTTAGTAATCACTATGTACTAGGAGCTCAAGATGTGAGAGTAAACGAGGCTCAGACCAAGGCTGTGACTCTCCTCCTAACATAATACCATGCTGTTAGATGCTGTAAGATCCCAAACAAATAACTTCAGCTCCCCAAACCTCAGACATCTGTAAAAAGAAGATAATGCCTACTTGGCAGGATGCATAGTAACTGGTGTTCCCAAATGGCAGGAATAATCACTAATATAACTCATCACAGAGGACTAAGAGTAGAAAACGTTTCCGTTTAGACGAGAAATGGGGATCGAGACGGTTAAGCAGTGCCCGCTAAGCCAGCATCTGCCAGACCCTGTCAACCCCCGACTCCGCGGACTTGGGGAACTTCGTGCGCGCCCAGGCACTTCTTTGGTCACGCTCTTCGTCTCCCGACAGAAGTCGGACCAGGTCCCTTTTTTATTGCCCAAGGGAACCCCAGCAACCATCAGGCAGCGACGCGCACACGAACCCCCAACCCCCATCGCCCCGAAGGCCAGACCAGAGGGGCCGCCCAACGGTCCAGGCCAGGAGGACGACTGCCTTCATCCCCGGGAAGAGTAAGCCCTGGAGGGATCTCTCCTCTGCCACTATCCCTCATTCAGTGTTCACCTCACTATAGAAGGTCATAAATGCTTCCTCCGTGCTGCCTCCACCGCCCGAAGCCCCGCTCTCTCCTGGAGCCGCCATTTCCCCGGCTCAACCACCACGTGACTATTCTGCGCAGGCGCTGCCCCACGTGATTCTTACTGGTCCGCCTCTCTAACCCCGCCCCCTTCTCTGCGGCTCTTAAAGGGCGCGCATCCCAGGCCGGGCTAATCTATGTAAAGTTTTAATTGGGATGAATTACACGTAACATACAATTGACCACTATAACGTGAAGAATTCATTGTATTCATGATGCTGTGCAACCACTACTTCATTCCCAAAACAGTATCAACACTTCAAAAGGATGGTTGGCATCTATTAAAGTTACTTAACTACTGACAACTAATCTGTTATCTGTGTCTATGGATTTACCTACTATGCATATTTCATATAAATGGAACCACCCAATATGTGATTTTTGTGTATATTTCTTCCATTTATTATGTTTTCAAGATTCATCCAAGATACAGTATGTGTCATCACTTCATTACTTTTTATTGTTGAATAATCTTTCACTGTATGTATATATCACCATTTGTTTATGCATTCACCAGCTGGTGGCCATTTAGACTGTTTCCATTTTTTAGATATTGTGAAGTTGTACTGCGATGAACATACATGTACATGTATTTGTTTGAGTACAATTTCCAATGGGGGGGATGGGATGTTTAATTCTCAAGTGTCACTACAAGTGACAGTAGTGCTGAAGTAACTTGCCTAAAAGTGAAGTTGCTGAGTCATTTGGTAATGTTATATTTAACTTTTTGAGCAACTGCCAAGCTTTCTCCACAACAGCTGACCCATTTTACATCCCCACCAGCCATAGGGCTATAGAGGCCTATAATTTCTGCACAGCCTAACTCACACTTAGATTTCCATTTTAAAAAAATTATAGCCACCCTAATGCTATTTTCAATAGGGGGGATGGGGCAAGACAAACAAGGCAAGACCCTCTACTGAATGCCCACCCTAGGAAATAACGAAGAAACAGCATTATCTAAAAACAAGAAACAGTTTCTGAAAGTGCAACAGTTTATGAAACACACCAAATTATCACTAGGATTATAAATGACGATGCGTCTTATATCTATTGTTAGGCCCCTAAGCCCCTCTGTCTGGGTCTCAGAATCACCCTGGGCCCAGAAAGGAGGGCAGGCAGATAGCATTCCTGGTGCCAGCTCCTGGAACTGGCTGAAACTAGACCGTGATATCAGCTCCTGACTCATGACTGAGACATCTGTTCTTAGAAAACCGTCCTTGAGTGCTGTGAAGCTTGTTACTCTTTGAATTTGCAGTGGCTAGACGTATCTAATGGCCTATAAGGGCCTATATATTCTCTGGCATTCCTATGGTCTGGGTCTTGCTCTCCCTGTGTGGCCTGATGCCTGCAGGAAGGCTTGACCCCAGCTGGCTGGCTTAATAAACTCTGCTTGCTTGTGCATCTCTGGTCCTGTTCTTCGTCGCGGGGGACAACCGGGTGATTTCGGACCCTAACACTATCACTCTCCTTCCTGTGTTCTTCCAAGATTTCCCACATGACTTTGAATGTGCGCTACAGGCATTTTCTCCCACTTAAGTCATACAAGTCAGGGTTAATATTTTTACAATCAAAAGATGGTCAATAAAAACAGTTCTAAAAAAAAAACAATTCTATAATTTCATAGGAAGCAAAGAGGAAGCAAAGAAAGGTAATCTGGCCCAATCCTCTCATCTAACAGAGGAGGAAAGTAGATATAGCGTTAGCAAATGATGTAGGCAACGACGATAAACGTCATGAAGGCAAAGGCTATTATTTACATTTGCTAGATGGTAGAAAGGTGGTTAAGGCAAAACCTTCCCCAGACTCTCAGCTTTCATCCATTTCATTGCACCACATTGCCCAAAGTCCAGCTGTCAAGTCCATTCGATAACATAATATTGCATTTAACAAATATTAATAAGGTGCGACTTGACTATGACCCTGATAACCTCAGAAGGTGAAAATTGCAAGGGCCGAGAAAGAACAAACTAGGAAGCTGTAACAGAATGACTAAGGAAGTTAGGGACGGTGATGGTAAGTGACACTGAAGAGTGAAATATCACAGCAACAAAAAAAATAGTAACACTTATTAAGAGACTAACATGTATATTTAAAAAAAAAAAAATCCCACAACACTAAGTCAGGGCATCCGGGACGTCAGCATCCTCAGCATACCGCCCCACCAACCCTGTATTACCCACATTTTTGATGCTGGTATTCCAGGAGGGAAAGCTTCCTTTAGGTGCTTTATAACAACAACGTTAGCATTGAAATCGCGGTGTAAGGACACCGTCAAGCCTCATTCTAAGAGTCCAAGAGCCGAAATTGTGGCTTCCTACACTGTCCTTCCTCTGCCATGATTAGTCGCTTGTCCTTTGGCCAGGGAGGCCCGGGTCCGGGTTGGAGAAACACAGGTCCGCGATTCGCTCGGGATTTGTCGCAGCCGCAGTCCTCCCGCCTCCTCCCGCCTCCTCCCGCCGGTGATTCGCTTCTCCCGGCTTCAGCCCGCCTCTCTCCCGAAAAGATTGGCTGCGGGCCAAGGAGCCGTTAGCGCCCACGGAGATGCTGCGCCGCCTGCGCCAGTGACTGGAAGGTGCTGCCCGGGGAATAATGGCTGTCGTGGCTTTGGCGACGCGGATGCGGCTGGGCGTGTGGGGTGTGAGGACCATGCAAGCCCGAGGCTTCGTCTCCGATGGGGTAAGCGAGCGGCAGCCACGGCCACCCCGGCCCTGAGCGCGCAGCCCTGCGCCTGCGCCGCGCCTTCACCACGGTCCCGTCTTCTCCGCAGGCCGATAATGTCGAGTCCAGCGGGGGCTCCGTCCGGGATGCCGGTGGGGCCTTTGCAAAGAGAGAGAAGGCCGAAGAGGATCGGTACTTCCGGTGAGGTCCATGGGCTCCGAGGCCTCCCCAAGTCGCCCCGGCCTTCCTGGCTTTAACCCTCCAACCGCCACACCTCTACCTGCTTGGTCATCTGGGGCGCTCCATCCCATCCCCCACCAGAACTCCCGGGCCCCAGAACCTATTACACCCTACACTTGCGGTCCCCACTGTCGCCACCCACTGGGCGCTTCCAGTGCCCAGCCGAATAGACCCGGAGACCCCCGCATGTATGTCCTCTGGGGGTCTCCAGAACTCTCAAACCATGGTTGAGTTCTTCCCGAATGACTGACTGACCGTCTCTCTGCTAGTGCCCCCCCATGTCAGGCGAAAGCCCCCTGGCTCCTTGCCTTGTCAATTCGACCGCCCACTCAGTGCTTGAGGACCCTCTGAGTCCTCACCCACCATCACCCTTTTCTGTTCTTTTTTCTCAACACGCCCTTGCTTTACAAGCTCTGCAAAGATGGGTTTTCCTGACTATTCGGGACCTTCCAACCATTTCGTATTCCCCCAACATGGCCAGAGTTTCCGGGTCTTTAGAATTAGTGGCCGCTGCACATGGTTGGCGTTCTCCCTTTTCCTAGAGACTTTGGCCCAGCCCAGCCGGCCCAGCCCTGCCGGCCCAGCCCTGCCGGCCCAGCCCGCCCAGCAAGCCCAGCCCTGCTCAGCTTAACTCCCGGACTGGAACGATTCCTCTGTCTCACTTAAGAGCATGGAGTGGGTGGGACCTGTTTACTCCTTTTCCTAACCCTGGGTTATCTCTTACTGACTGATAAGTGTCTGCAGTGGGGAGCAATTTCTACCTGCTCTTTGCTTACTCCTAAGAATTACTACCATGGTGCCTGCTATACCAGAAAGCACTCAGGGGGCCCTTACATTTTACAGTTAAGAAGACCTGAGGCCCAAATGTGACTAAGCCAACATTTGAATCCTAAATTGGACTGTCAACTACTGCCCATGCATGAGACACCCTTTGCTGTTGTTTTTCCCACTTCTTCATTTTGGCTTTTACATGGATCAGGCATCTCTCTCTCTCTAGGCAAAGAAAACCCCACATAAATGGAATAGGACTTAGTTATTTGTCTTGAACTATATACCCCATTGTCTGTCCATTACCCCTGCTTTTATCATCCCCCCCCCAAAGGGATTCTGTTCTCTGGATTTTTCCTCTAATAAGATATTGAGGATTTATGTCATACCTCTCTGAATTTTTTACTTTTAAGAGGAACCTGAAAGGAACTATTCATGATAGGATTTCAGGCACTAGCTCCAGGGAAGTAGTCATTTTGGCCATGTAAAAGTAGAGTTGGCCCCCAACTCAAGGGATTGAAGAATAACCAAACAGTACCTCAGCTATTGCAGGTTACACTTAGAGTTCTCACTGGGGTGAAGGATTGGGATTAAGCCCATGGGATTGGGATTAACCCTATGACCTTGTAGACAGAAGACTAAAGAACAACTGTCAGCCTTGAAGGAGCACCATGAAGATGAGATCGTTCATCATAAGAAGGAGATTGAGCGTCTGCAGAAAGAAATTGAGCGGCATAAGCATAGGATCAAGAAACTAAAACTGCACGATGAGTAAATGCACACAGTTCCCCACAGAATGACCACATGTAATTGCCCCCTGCTATGCAGTTCTGGTTTAATTGATATATATCTGTGTGCAACCAACAGATTAAAATAAATTGTCACCAGTGAATGGAGTGTAATGCATTCTTCTGTCTGGAGAGGGGAAGGGGAACAAACACTACTGAGCTACTAAAATGAATCAGGGTGCTCGCAGACAAAGCACAGCACATGGCACGGGAAAGTGCCCTTCTCCATTCTGACATTAGAGGTATTCAGAGAAAGCGTCTTAGGACCATCCCTGCTGGTGCAGCTGGCAGACGCAGCACTGTGAAGCAACCTGTAGCCACTGTAGCTCAAGTTCCATCCCCAGCCTGGAGCTGACCCACAGGGCGCAGCAGACCTCTCCTGACCCATCCGCTGCTCCCCTCAGCAGTGTACTTCAGTAAATCTGCCTATTCTGCTCTCCACCCTATCTCTGGCGAATCCTCTCACCTCCCACACCTCTGGCCTGTACCCCAGTTCTTGTATGCATAAATTTAAAAATCTAAAAAGAAAACTTCTTAAAGAATAAACCCCAATCTGAGACATAAGGTAAGGAGCAATCTAAAAAACAGGAATGATTGCTTTATTTATTCTTAAAGATTTATTTATGCACACAAGAACTGGGTTACAGTCCAGAGGTACGGGGCGGGGGTGGGGGTGGTGGTGAGAGGATTCACCAGAGACACAGTGGGGTGCAGAACAGGCAGACCTACTGAAATACACTGCTGAGGGGTGCCCCAGGTAAAGACGAGAGGTCTGCTGCGCCATGTGGGTCACTTACCTAGCTGCGGCTTGCTTCATAGTCCTTTAACTCATTGCACCACCAAGGAGGGCCCTTAGTTTTATTTTATAACCAAAGTAACTAAAGCAGGAAATTATAAGGAACTTTCTCAAAGACACAACCAGATCCATGCTGAGCAAACACTTTTTATTTCAGCACTCCTGTTCCCACAATCTACTTTCTATGTAGAGAATCCACTGCCAACTAGATCCCTCCTCTAAGTGGGATAGGTCATGGTGGGGTGAGAGGAGAGTACCTGGATGAGTAGGATGGGTGGTAAGGACAAAGGTTCCTGGCAGTACATGTAACAGTGCCAGTGGCTGGCTGGCTGTTAGCAATTCAGCTGCCACACAAACCCCATCAGCATGTCAGTGCATGCCTATGGGATGCAAACACACTCTTGGAATAGAACTTAGTTTGAGATTTTCACATTCATAAACCTAAAGTTGTAGTTCTCAATTCAGACTACACCCTGAAATATGTGGGGAACTTTAAAATTAAGCCAATGCCTCAGCACCATTAAATCCAAATGTGAGATTGGGGCCTGAGTATTTTCAAAAGCTCCAAGTTTTTCCAACATGTTGAAAAACCACTGGTGTAAAAAAATCCAAGTCTGCTGCATTGAGTAGATTGTTGACTGCATCAGGACTCTTAAGGGGAGAGACCAGGAAGGACTGAAATTCAGCCTACCTTCTTATTTAGTAATGGCATCTGTCCTGAAAAAGTCACCTTTTGACTAATTCCACAAAAATAACTCTAGGTCCTTCCACTGTTCTTGACTCTACATTGTCTCACCGTCTATGTATGCCATTTGCACATTTAAAAAAATGTGTTCGGCCCTCCCTGGTGGCACAGCAGGTTAAAGCACAGCACTAAGAAGCTAAAGCCACTTCCTCATGAATTCGATTCCCGCCTGCCCAGGAGGTGACCACATGACACAGCAGACTGCTCCTGACCCCCCTGCTGTTCCCCTCATCCGTGTACTTCTTTGATCTGCCTATTCTGCTCCCCGCTCTGTCTCTGGTGAAGCCTCTCGCTGCCCCTGAGCCTCTGGCCTGTACCCCAGTTCTTTATGTACAAATAAATCTTTAAAAAAAAAAAAAAGAATGTGTTCACTTAAAATTATATTCAGCATCTACTACATGCTAGTATATAGTGGGAATAAAACTAAAAAAAAAAAAAAAACTATCATTACAAAATAATGCTCCTGTCCTTAAGGAACCCACAGCTATTGGAAAAGACTAGTGGTTAGATAATGGCTGTGAATGCAGAATGCTGAGGCAGGAGAGAGGGGAGACACTGGACACTCTACCCAGAACTGGGGTTCAAAGTAACCTCATGATGGAAGGGGTATAACAGCAGCCAGGTGAAAGGGAGCAGGTGGTATTCAAAGTTGAATGACAGCATTTGAAGAAGCGGGCTTTGAGAAAGGCCATGGGTTATTTGGGAATTGACAATAGCAACGTGTCCATCTGGACTATGGAGGGAGTGTGGTAGTGTTGGGGTTCAGATAATGAGGTTCCAAGTGTGTGTGGTTCCTAGGTCCTCTGAGAAAGAATTCAGCAGATGTTCCTGTTCATCAGCACTGGGCAAGTATATTAAGAGAAAGAAAAAAAACAAAAGAGAAACACCTGTATAGACACAGACAGGAAGTCTCAAAGGACAAGGTTTAAGAAAAGAAACACCTGCATAGACACAATGGGGCAGAAGAGCTGAGTTTCACTAGAGCAAAGGAGAAGCAAAGGAGTTCTTTCATAATGTTCTTTATGGAATTATTGTGGAAATTAACATCTTGGGATCAGATTGAACTAGTGTTCTGTGATGGATAATCCCTACCCCCACCCCTGCTGATAATCTTTATTGACCCCATCTCAGATTCCTGGAAACTTCCAGAGCAGGGTTTAGTTTAAGATTCATTCATAATCCCTCCCCGACCCTGGTGTTTGTCCTTGTGAAACCCGCCATTCTAAATTTTTCTACTCTTCACTTCCATCTATAGGTCCTGTGGACCTTGTAAGTGGAATGCACCCAACTTCTCAGTCCTTTCTTCCTCCCTTTCCACCCTTTCTCCTCACTATGCTTCTTTTCCTCCTTCATTCCAGTTAAAAAAAAAAAAACAAAAAACTTGAACCCTACTTCAAGGACTAGAAAGGAACAAATTTTTAGGATCAAGTAAAGGAGCAAAGAAATATGAGGATACAGGCTACTACCACAACTTCACAATTAGGTAAATTGAGGTAAAATTCAGAGTTAATAGTTAACCATTCACAGTGTAAGCTTCAGTGGCACTTAATATATTCATAATGTTGTACAAACCATACTTCTATCTAATTTGAAGTATTTTCATCACCTCCAAAGTTCTATGCCTATTAATTTCCAAGCAGTTTTCCTGCATTCCTCCCTCCACCAGCACCTGGTAACTATTAGTCTGTTTTCTGTCTCTACAGACTTGTCATTTCTGAATCTTTGCATATATGTAACCAGATAGTATGTGACCTTTTCTGTCTGGCTTCTTTCACTTGCAAATGTTTTCTTTTCTTTTCTTTTTTTAATATTTATTTCTTTATTGCAGAGAAGAAATGAGGTGTAGGCCAGAAGTGTGGGGGGTTAGGAGTCACCAGAGACACAGTGGGGAGCAGAACAGGCAGATCTGAGGAAATACAGTGCTGAGAGGAGTGGTGGATGAGATAGTAGGATCTGCTGGTCTTACTGTAAGTTAGCTCCCTGGCCTGGGATCGAACTCAGGCTGCAGTGATGACATCACTGATGTCTTAACCCCTAGGCCACCAGGGCAGCCCTTGCACAATGTTTTCAAGGTTCATCTATGTAACATGTTTAAGAACTACATTCCTTTTTTATGGCAGAATAATATACTATTGTGTGGATTTACTACTTTTGATCATCCACCCAACAATCAATGAAAATTACTTTTGTTTATACTTAAAATATTCGTGTACAAGTGTTCAGACATCTGGATCGGTTCTTTTGGATACATACCTGAGATGAGTCATATGATACTTCTATGCTTAACTTGTTTTTCTGCAACAGCTAAACACTTTGCATTCCCACCAGTGCTATATGAAGCCTCCAGTTTCTTCACATACATGCTCACTAATACTTACAATACCTGATTTTTTGATGCTAACTATTCTAGAGGGTACAAGTGGTGTTTTATTGTGGTTTACATTTGCATTTCTCTTAAAGCTAATGATATTTTCTCTTAAAACTAATGATATTGAGCATTTTTAAAATAAGCTTTCTTAGCCATTTATATATTTTCTTTGAGGAGATATTTAAGTCCTTTGTCTATTTTTAATTGGCTTTGATCTTTTTGTTGTTGTAATTCCATATTTTGGAGAGTATATCTTTTATCCTCTCTCATTTTAAAATATTTTCATCCCTCTAGAAGAATGAGCCATACCCTGCAATCAAGTACTCTCCATTCTCTCTTCCTCCCTGGCCTTGGGAACCACTAGTGTGCTTTTTATGCATACAGAACTGGGGTACAGGCCAGAGGTACAGGGAGGGTGAGAGGACTCATCAGGGATAGAGTGGGGAGCGGAACAGGCAGATCAACAAAGTACCCTGCCGAAGGGAGCAGCCAGTGAGACTGGAGAGGTCTGCTGTGCCATGTGGGTCAGCTCCCTGGCTGGGGAGCAAACTCATGCTGAAGTGGCTGCAGCCAGCTTTGCAGTGCTGTGCTTTAACCTGTTGTGCCACCAGGGAGGACCCCTGTCCTTTTCTCCCCTTGCTCACTCTGCTCCAGTCTACTGGCTATCTTGCTGTGACCTGAATGTGAGGGAGAAAAAAAAAAAAATGAGTGAGTATATATTTTAGAAGAAAAACAGTCAGGAGCTGTAAAGTGGCTGTAGGGAACTGTCTTAAGTAGTATGAACTGATAATGTTGTCACCTTACCTGTGAGCTGATAAAGGACAGTACTGAAGACTATCATGACATGAGCTATGAAGATATAGTCTAATAAAAAGACAAAGACCCTGAAACAAGAGTGGTTTAATATGATCAAAACGGAGCAGAATGTCCAGAGATCTTGAGCAGTCACAAGGGTGAGACCGGTACATGAAATTGCTCATCGATTACAGGCCCCAGCCCAAAAGAGTGAGTCCTTTGCCCTCTAGGGAAAGAATTCACAGGAGGGTACTCGGTGTGTTTGAACCAAGCAAGGCTTTGTTAGAGACTCATGCAGAAGGGAGCCAGGCAGAAAGGGAGAATTTAGCCTGGCTCCTCAAAGGGTGTAAGAAGATGTTCAAAGGGTCTTCCCATGAGGCAAGCGGGGGAGAGCAGCAGC